CGGCACGACGGAACCTGTCCCGGGGCACAGCGCGACACCGCCCCCCCCTCCATCCTCCTCACGCTGCCCGGTGTCTCCTGTGCTGCAGGTGGGCCCCGCCGCCCCCCGTCACCCTCCAGGAGCAGGTGAGCCACTGACTAACGCACATTGTGCTCTCGGCGACTCCACTGTGCGTGTGACAGCGGCTAACCTGCTCCTCGGACATCGCTGTGCGGCCGCCTCGCCTCGCCTCGCCTCCACGGACCCGCGCCTCGGCACCTTGACGCCCGCGTCCCCTCTCCGTCACCCCGCTGAGGGGCTCCGGCCTAGCAAAGGGGCCCGACCCCCGTCTAACGCCGCTGTCCTGCCTCCGGTGCCTTCCCCGGCTCGGCGGGCAGACCCCCGGTGCGCGGCGGGTCGCGATCCGCAGCTTGGCTGCGCCGCGGAAGGATGGAACGCTTCTTGCGGCGGGGCTCGGGGTGTCCAGCGGGAGCCGAGAGGATGGGAGTGGGCCGCGGCGGTGTGCGGGCCGCCAGGAGTTGGTGGTAAAGTTGCTGCGGAGGGATAGGGTGCCCCCCTCTCTCCTCCCCTGCTCTTCTCCAAAGTCAGTAAACGCTAGTGGACTCCGTACCAAGTTAAAGAGACGCTTCATCCCAGCCAGTGACGTCTTGATACCCGGTCAGTGACTAACTGAACTGCTATTGCCAAGGGTGTGTTAACAGAAGAAACCATGCCTGGTATTGCCCCGGATGAGTCACCTTTAAAGAGAGACTCTCTAGTCTGTCAAAGAAAGAGCAGAGACAAGCCTCTCTTTCCTTTTTCATCGCTGTCTTGTTTCCCATCCTGCTCCTCACATTTGCTCACTGCTTTCCGCTTCTTGTGCCGGGGCTCTGTTGGCCCCCCAGCCCTGGCTGGGCGCTGGCGGAGCTGCTGTGCACAGTCGTGCTGTGATGTCATGCAGGGGACTCTGACTTCATGGCCCCGAGGAGCAGGAAGGCAAGCCGGGCAGGGACTCCTCCAGCCACCCAGAGTGGCCATCACTGCAAATGGAGGAAGTGACGAAGCAGATTGCTTCTACAAAGTTCTCTCTTGCGATTTTTGTGGGGCTGGTGAAGAAGCTGGGTAGTTGGAAAGTGTCTTTTTTGAAGCGCAGCGTGGCTTTATTGGCAGCTTAAGCTCATAATAACCAGCTAGGATTCACTGCCTTCCCTGGAAGGGCTCAGGTACTCTCACTCATGCTTGGGCTGCTTGTGTGTAGTCCTGGACCGTTGTAAAGGCTTGATCTGAAAGAATTGGCAGTGCTCTGGTCAGTAACTAGTTAATTGCACGGAAGGCAGAGCAACGGTTAAAGTCTCTCACAGAGAAATTTTGCTTGTCCCCATGTCTCCTGCCCACACTCATTTGTTGTTTCTCCCTCTGGGTCCCGGAGGAGCATCTGCTCTTCCGCAAGAAAAACCAGCTCCCTCTGTGCCCCGTGCAGCCTGGGTGAGTCCAGGGTGCTCAAACATGCTGGAAAGAGAGGAAAAATGCCTTAGATTACCAAAGCTGCTTTCACGCTTGTTCAGAAGCCAAATGGGCCTTTTTTGAAGGCCGAGGGGGAAGAAGTTTGCAGCTTTCTCGGTCGCAGAAGGCTTTCCTCCTCCCTAGCTGCACCTACAGCATCTTCCACTGCTGGGCCTGCGCAGGCAGGAGTGCAGTGGGGAGAGGGTGCTGCCTGGTGCCAAATACACCTGTGTGTGACTGTGTATGCGAGTTGAAACTGAAGTCCTGTAGTCCCCTGCCACCCCATTTCACAGGAGAGCACGCGTGTGACAAATCCCTATCTGAAAATGAAGGTGCTCTGTTTTTCTTTGAGGAAATAGCCCCGTGCTTGGGACTGTGCTGCCCGACGACTCACCCCTGGAGATGCCGCTGGCAGAAGCAGCTCCGCGGGTCGCCTGGCAAGACTTATCCCCTGAGCAGCACTGGGGTATGAACGCTTCCGACTTCCCGTTACCTACAGCACCATCCTGTTCAGCTCCAGTAAGCAAAGGCAAGGGCTTGAAGTGAAGTTTGTTTGGTTTTGGGTTTTTTTTTTTTGGTGTCTCTCTCCAGTAAGCCATGGGGGGAGCATACAGCTCAATTCCTGTTTTTAACATTCCTGTGGCGTGATTCAAAACTAACCTGCTGTGCTGTCACCTGAAGTCTTCAATAAATAGTACAACACCAGTGTTTGGGTGCTTATTACTGTAATCCAGGGCGCCAGACCAGCTGAAGAGGAAGGCTGTGCCTTCTCAGTGACGTCTCTGATGTGCACTGTGTGCCCCGTGCCTCCCATCTCTTATTTTGCCTCTGTAGCCAGTGAAGGTGGCTTGAAAAGGAGATCGGAAGGGTGCCACTGGGTTCTCCCTCAGGCAGAAACCCAGCATTGGTGCCTTCACCCCTGCCTTAGCCCGAGCCCCAGAGTGCTCCCAAGCGATGAGAAAACACACCAAGGCTAAGATGCCCCTTGATTTAATGTTTTTCAGTAGCTAATAAACAGATTTGTAAGGTGATACTTAGCCTGGTAACAAGAGTAGTCAGGTGCTAAAAGCTCTCGCTCAGAACTGATGCTGTAAGATTTCTGGGGAGAGGCAGGGGTGTGCTTACAGGAGGGGAAGATGCTGAATGTCAGGTCCGTTAAGCTGAAAGGACTCTCTGTGCTCCTCAAAGATTTTGTTCTCTTGTTTCAGTACTTCACAGAGGGAAGTGAGCAGGCCTAATGCTTCCAGCACCTTGCTCAGAAGTGCCTGTCGTGTTCTATAATGTGTGCCAGGGGCAGGTCCTACGTGGTGAGCCTCACTGAAGGAGCAAGCTGGCCTGTCAGGAATAGGAGGAGTACATAAATTGTTTAAGAGGAAGTCAGTTAGTTAAATGCAAGCAGGGACTTATATAAAAAAAAAAAAAAAAAAAAAAAAAAAGAAAAAAAGAAAGATTTCTGCTGGCAGGAGGTTCCGTTGGGAGAGAAACTTGCTCATCCATAAACAAGAAAATTTCCCGGCCTCCTCTAGTGCTTTATGATTTTTTTTTTTTTTTCCAGGGCAAGGTAGATGCACTCAGCCTTTACCCTGAGACAGAGAAAGGAAAATCATCAGGGGGAGAGCAAATAACGCTTCCTGCATGGACACGCATGCCAGTTTGAATAGTTTCTCTTCTCCCTCTGCAGTGGACTGCCCTCGTAGGAGCTGTGCACCCAGGAGCAAGGCAGCAGAGCATCTGTACACCACTTGGGGAGCAAAACCAACAGGCATTTTCTCCTCCAGTCATTCACACCTTTCCTTATGTAACTGGTGCTGAAGCGTGTGCTTTGAAAGCTGCTTGCCAAATCCAGGGGCTGGGAGGCAGCACAAATGCTTCTAGCACTCTAGTTGAAATTCAGGGGGTGGGGGGGAACCCAAACCCAAACACTGAGGAACTCATACAAATCCACAACTGCAAATTTGGGCTGTTTCAAGTGTCTGCAGCTGCACCGCCCTCGAGAAACCGTAGAGGCCTGGGGCAGCGCTGGCACCCTGACCACCATCTGTGGAGGATGCCTGGCCCAAACGAGCCAACATAGGCCAGCATAGATGGGTGAAGAGCTGGGAGCCATTTTTCTTATGCAATATTTAAAAAATAAATAAATAATCAGGCAGTGCAGAGAGAAGAACCTCAGGGAGGCTGGAGGTGGCTGAATTATGCTCCTGAATGGTGCCTTGTGCTGACAGAGCCTGCAGGTAGCGTGCAGATTGATTTTATTTCAAAAACAAACAAAAAAAGATGCTGGGACTGTTCGCCCCAGTTCGTTTTGACTGTTCGAAAAACAGGTATCCTTTGCTTCATGATTTTTGGGTGGCGCTGGAGCTGGCGCTCAGAGGCATCTGAGGAGGGAGAGAAGCCTTGAAGCCTGTTCCTGCCCACCATAGGGAAGGAAGAAGCTGCCCCACAGCGCCTGAGGGATGCGGGAGACGACTCCCCGCTGCCCCCAGCCCGGCAGCCTCCAGCCACCCGCTCTGCTTGGATTCCTGCCTCACCCCCCAGCCATTTGTGCCTTCTCCAGTAGGCGCCGTACGCTGGGCTTCTGGTTTGTTTTTTAAGGGAAAAAAACCCAATAATTTATTTGCTTTGATTTAATCTCATAACAATGAGTAATTCCTTCCTACTGCTCTGTAGTGGCCTAGAAAAGGACAGCATCGTCTCCATTGTAGCAAGAAGGCTTCTCCCAGGGCATAAAATTTTAATTAGGAACAATCACGCAGCCTTGAAATGGGAATTGTGAGCAGCAAAAAAGTCAAACCATCAATAAAATATTCAATGGCAGAAATGTATTATTGACACAGCTTTTAGAGCAGATAAAAGCGGAAAGGCGGGGGAGCCAGAGCGGGTATCGAGCCTCGCTCGGTTAAATAACGCGCGGGGACCTGCCTGCGTGCTGCACCGCTGCCTGCCCCTCGTGCCGGGAGGAATATAGGTCACTCGCGGGTGGGGAGTTTCTTAAGGTAATAAATGAGTTTGATTAACGCCTCCCCCCCCCCTCCCCCCCCGCCGCAGTGTGCAGTGTGGCAGGGGGAGGCATTAATCAAAGTAATTTATCACTGCACAAAATGCCGCTGCCTTTGCAGCAGCTGGGTGATGGCTTATAGGACACAAAATGAAAAAAAAAATCTGCAAAATACCTTGAGCTGAAGAAACAGAGTTAGCCCTCAGCCATGGTGCTCTCCCTAACCATACACCTGATTGTCAGACCTCAGTGGGAGACAGGGCAGAGTTACACTGTCCCCCAGCCCATGTAGCAGTTCCAAATCCTGCATCCCAGCCAAGGCACATCAGCTGCAGAGCCAAAAACTTTCTTAAACCCTTATTTCTGCCCCTCTTCCAAAAAAAAAATGGTGCTAGTTTGACCCGTCAGATTATAGCTGAACAGAAACAACCCACAAAAATAATAAGCAAATAATATATAAGCAGAAGTGCAGGGTGAAAGTTCCACACAAAATCAAGAGATCCAAATGAACTTTCTGCCCAGTTTTCCCCAGCAGCATGCCCATGCCATAAGTGATGACCCTTTTCTCTTTATTCCCATTTATTTTGCAGAAGGCAAAGCACAAATGTAGCCCCAGAACAAAGATCCAGTTTTTAACCCACAGAGGTCAGTTTTTCAGGGCACACAGCGGACTTCATGTAACATCCCAAAATCCGGCTGTGTCCAAGGCAAGTGCATTTTCTGAACCTACTTTTCATGTGTTTTTTTTCCCCAGGCAGCAGTAAAACGCTCTTTACAGCCTCCATCACCCTCCGCTTCTCTTCTTAGCAAGGTGGAGTCTTACTTTAAAAGCAAGAGTCCAAAAAATGAGTGCAAGAAACCCAGAAAGCAAACAAGCAGGGGAGAATCTCCTTGATGCAGCTTCATGGAGCAAATGTATTTTTAACTCATTTTCCCCAAGATATGTGATTTAAGGAGGGGAAAAAAAAAAAAAAAAGCAAGCCCAAACAAAACCCCCACCCTGATTCAAAAAACGGATAACTCTGAAATTGCATCTCCCCACTGCGACAACTTGTATAACTGGAGGCACAGCTGCCTCGGTGCTCTCCCAGCAAAGCAAACTTTAATTCTTCAGTATCACTTGACCAACTTGCTGAGCTGCGGTGGCACCTCAAGAATTGGCTTTGAGGGGGGCATGTCCCGGGGTGCCAGAGCCCAGCAGAGCCTCAGGAGAGGTGCTGATGGAGAGCAAGAGCCAAACTTCTTGCTTGCAGTTATCCAGGTGCAGACGGAGGGGCCTGGAAGGTGAAGGGGAGGTTTCCCCCTTACCTGCTGCTATCTGTAGCTGAGCACCATCTCGTCACCTCCTGTCCTAAAATGCTCTGAGCTGCTGCTGTGCATTATTAAAATGCTGCCATGTTTCATCCCGGAGATGGCTGCCCTCTCACCAGAGACAAGGTTCATCTGCTGGTTGTAAAGCACTTTGCGATTAAAAAAAAGAAAAAACAAAAAAACCAAAACCCCAAAAAACAGCAGCATGCATTCGTTCAAAAAAATACTTACAGCTTTAATTCAGCAAATGGAAAGAGATGGCTTGGAAACGAAAGAGATGGCTGCGGGGTGCACAAACCGCTCGGACATGCCCGTTGGGCACCGGCCCAGAAGCCAGCCGGGACAGTTTGCCCTGGGCCACAACAGCACGCTCACGCTCGCTTTGCTCAAATCCTTTCCCAAAGATTTATTGAAAATTGACACCGCGGCACACAGGATTACATTCATACAGGGAAAGTGGGATTTAACGGCGAACGCTGTGCCCGAGTCACATTTTTTGCATATGACGTGTTGAAAACGGACTCAGGGACCTCCTGGACAAACCCATCCCCTCCCCAAACCGCTTTGGTTTTGCAATTAAAATACAAGGCAACCCACTGGGACAGATGAACAAACCCGAGAGTAACTACTGGCCATCAAGTAAAACATCAGTGAAATGTCACCAAAAGCATTTTGGTCCTGCTCCCCACCCGCGCCACCATCGGGGAAGGGCTCATTCTGTGATTTTATTTTTTTAATTTTAAAAACAAGTTGAAAAATTAAGTGGATTTAAGAAAAACAAGCCCCCGCTGTGATTTCCTTGCTCCCTTGAAGCTTGGTCCGTGGCACCGTAGAAAGGGGGTTTCTATTATAAGGTTTCTTATAATAATAAAAAAAAGAGGGGGGCAGAAATTTGTCTTAAAGCTGCTCTTGCGCATCCAGTGCAGCCAGTGAAGAGGCAGTTTGTCACGGCCCCACGTGCTGCAGGGAGATGCTGTAAATCCCGTTCACTTGCTCCATCCAGGTGAGCCTCCAGGCAGGTCTCCAGCGTGGCTTTGCTCCCCTCGCCAAAGGAGCAAGGCCTTTTCCGAATGCACGATGGGTCTTTCAAGGAGGCTGTGTGGAACAGGAGCCCTGCAGTTTTAATACAGAAAGCACTTAAAAAAAAAAAAAAAAAATAGAAGGGGGTCGCTTCCATCCGCAGGGACGAGGGTTGCTTTGTGTTGTCAGTCTCTGGTTTTATCTTACAGTCTGTAAAAATACTCTGGCTGTCCACATCCATTCACGATATAAAGCAGTAAAAAAAAAATATATATATATATAATATGGTTTATTTATACAGTTACACTTGCAAGGCAATCAATCCTTCGCTGGCCGGGCCCTTCTACCTCCAGATGCTCTGCCTTGCTGATATGACTGCAAGACAAGACAAAACCAACCTGAGCAATCCCATCACAGCGTGCAAGCTCTTGTGAAAAGGGGAATGGAAAACAGGACATATGCGAGTGCAGAGCCTGGACTGGGGATGGATGTGCTGACGCCGCAGCATCTGGCGAGATGGAGGTTTCAGGCCGCGAGGAGGATGGCTGGCAGGAGGGTTTTGCCGAGGGGATGGTGGTGTGGGTGGGAAGTGGATGCAGGCGGAATTGCCATGGTGGGCAGGGGTGTCGCAGCTTGCTTCTGCTGCACCCGAAAACGTGGCGTGAGGTGGTAAAAAGGCTGATGGGGAGTGGAAAGGCTCATAGGGGTGGAAAGAATTTTAGGGTGAACTGGCCCCCAAGATGGAGCAAAAGGGACTCCTGTAAAAGATGGGATCCAAATTCTCCCCTTCTTAATTCTAACAAAGTCTTTGCCCCAGGGGATGTGGGGTGGCAGAAGGGGTGAGGAGCACCCTCTGTAGCTCCTGGCAGGACCAAGCGCCGGAGCACCAGTGTGAGCCCCTGGCAGCAGTGCAGAGGCTGCCGGGGTGTAAGCTTTGCTCTTTCTAATAGCATCTATAAATAGCTCTGGCCTCCCGCTCCCAGCGCACGCTCGCTCTCTGTAGCCCATTTTGGGCAGCAAAATCCTCTTCCCCCCTTCCCAGCTCCCATGCACCCTCCCCAAAGCCGGGGGCTCGCTGGGACATACACACCCTCGGGGTTCAGGCTGGGCACCAGGGGCTCTGGCAGGGTCCTGGGATGGCCGAGGAGCTGCTTGGTGCTGGCCCGGAGAGGCGAGTCGGTGCTGGCAGTGGGAGGAAAACCTGTGGGATGGGAAAAAAACGCCTGGCTGAGGCAGAGCTCACGCCTCCCGCGCTTCACCAGGCACAGCCGCTGCAGTGCCAGCAGGCAGCCATATCTCGCCACCCGGGTGCTCCAGAGGATCAACGACTGGGTCCCCCTTTCCACACCCCACACCCCGAGAGTCCCCTGCTGCCTCCTCTCCTTCCTGCCAGGATGCAGATATGGCCCCGGGCATCGCATTCACCCTTCACTGGCCAAACACAAAGAGCTTATCGGCAGCTGGAGCCCATCCCCACCAGCCCACAGCTCCAGGGGGCTGATGCTGGCCCTCGGCCACCTGCTCTCTGCCACCGCTGGTGGCACGCAGTGAAGGAAAGCTCCCTGCAGCCATCCTGGCCCGAAAAGCAGCAGTGCAGGATCTGACCCCTGAGCGTGGCTATGAGGAGCCCTGAGGCTTTAACAGGGAGGAAGGAGCCCCCGGGGCTGGCAAACTTCAGAGACCCCCCCCCCGGGTGGTGAGCAACTGCCGTGCCAGCACTAAAACCCCATCCCTGCTGCCTAACCTCAGTGCCTGAGGCAGAACTGGCCAGCTTTGGGACAGACCCCCCTTGGAGGGGGTGCCAACCCCCTTGGAGGGGGAGGCAGGGGGCGGGCAGGGGTCCCGCGGAGCAGCCCCCACGGCCGAGCCGGCGGCGGCGTGCTGACCTCCGTTTCTCCGGCAGGCTGGCAGCTCGCACAGGCTCGGCTCCGGCGGGGCATCCTCCTCGGACCTGGCCTGCAGGACAGTCACCGTGGCCCCCGTCTGCTGAATAAACTGCTGCAAATTACACTGCCTCAGCTCCTTATTTAACTCCTCCAGCTCTTGGGTCTGGGCCTGCAAAACACACACCGAGGGTGGGGACAGGGTGAGCCGCACATCCCCCCCATGTCTCAAAACCAGCTGGTTTCTTCCCCCCACCCCCAGGTGGGACTCATCCTGCCAGAGCCAGCGGAGGGGACCTGGGGGTGCTGCAGCTCCCCACGCCAAGAGCCTGCGGGAAGAGGGGTGCCCGGGTGGTGAGGACGTGTTTGGGGAAGGGCCCTGCTTTGCGGCTTCTCCACAAGAGGGTGCGAGCACCCGTCAAACGGCAGCCGCCGCGGTGCTGGGAAATGCTGGATGCAAAGTTGACGCTTGAGATGCTGGAAACATGGGCAGCTACCACTGCCTGGCTGGGCAAAGCTGCTACTTTTTGCTCTGCCAAAGGGGGCCCTGTGGGAAGAGGGTGGGCGTCACACAACGCCTGGACCCCCTGATGCTGGAGGATCTGGGACAGGCAAGCCAGGGGGGCACTGTGGCTCAGCCCCACCGCTACCATCTCCACACCACACATCCCCCCCCATGAGGAGCCTGAGCCCCAGCAGAGTTTGTGTGGTCAAAAGGCCTTGTGCACAGGCACCACGGGGACCTGCACCATTCCCCGCCACAACTCCCTTTATCCAAGATGACATCAATCTTTGTGCTGAGGCCACTCACCCCACACATGGACCATTTGCTCCAGCACTACTATCCGTGCCGGAGCGGGGTGATGCTGTATTCCCCCATGTGTGTGTGGGACCCTGCGCTGGCTGGGTAACAGCAGTGGTGTTCCCCTGACAGCGCTCAGTGCCGCTGAGCCACCTCCAGGCTCACTGGCTAGCTGGGGCAGGACCAACCCCACTCAACCCATCAGCCCCATATCAGTAGAAAGCTGGTTCCATCCCCTCCTGAAGGTCCCACCACCCCATGGGGCTGCTCAACCCTGTCCTATCTACCTGCAGGTTCCTTTCAGCCTCCTCCAGGGCCTTCTCCACGCTGGCCAGGTTGCTCTCCAGCTGGGTGCCTTGCTTGACCTTGGCCTCCAGGTCCCTTTTCATCTTGGTGGCCATGTCCTCCAGCTCTGTGGGGCTGGGTGCAGGGGTATCTTTCCCCCTCTTGGCCCTCTCGGCCATTTCCCACTGGATCTCCTCCTGCAGGGCTTCGGTCCGGGCGCTCAGCTCGTAGATCCTCTGGGTGTACTCCTCCAGACTGGCCCGCAGACTCCTAACCCGCTCCTGCCGTTCCCGCTCACACTCCTTCTCCAACCGGAGCTCACTCTGCCAAAACTCCTCCTCGCCCAGCTCCGTCTCATTCCTCCGCACCAGGTGCTCCAGGTAGAGGATTTCGTCCTCCTGACCGGCAAGCCGGCCACGTTCCCAGAGCCGTAGGTCCGTCTCCAGGGTGTCCCCGTGGGCCTCCAAGGAATGCAGCTGCTCCTGCTGCCGCAGCACCCTCCTAAACAGCTCCTCCTTGGAGGGCTGGACAACCCCACCACCCTCCAAGTCCATCCCTTCCCGCACCTGGTGCCTCCAGCGGCTCATGCCGAATAGGTCGCCAGAGCCCGTAGGACCCAAGTTGAAGGTCATGGATTTTTTTGGCTCCTGGGAACGGGGTACATCCGTGCCGGCGTGCCTGGGCTTGATGGGCAAGCTGGCCCGGATGAACGTCCTCTCGGGGGCTTGGGGAGTGCCCTCTGAGGAGGGCCTCTCAGCCACGCTGGGGCCCGTCCGCCGCAGGACGAACTGCACATCGTTGGCGTACTGCCCGCACTTGGCTAGCGACTCCAAGGGACACTCCAGCGGCAGCAGCTGCCTCTCCTTCTCCCGCAGCTTCTGCACCAGCACGTAGCGGCCCGTCTGACCTGCGGGGAGGAGGTGAGCATGTCAGATGGGGAAGGCCACGGCCAGCAGCAGCGTGCCCTGCGGGTGACCAGTGACATCTCCACCACCCCAGAGCACGACCCCCACCCACCTGCCCAAGGTCTCCCCTTCCCAGAAAGCACTTGCAGGTGTGACATCCCCTTGGCAGATGCCACCCCCTGCAAAGGGGTGTCCCCCTAGAAGACGGAGATGGCTCACCGATGGCCCGCGCCAAGGCAATAACCACTTCTTGGCAGGTGGTTTGCTCCGAGACG